GCAGGGTTCGCATGGCGGCCTCGGGCCATTTCGGCACACCCCTCACGAGGATCGTGGCCCCATAGGGAGCTCCACTGAAGGCGCCAGTGGCAGGGTTCGCATGGCGGCCTCGGGCCATTTCGGCACACCCCTCTCGAGGATTGTGGCCCCATAGGGAGCTCCACCGAAGGCCCCCAGTGGCAGGGTTCGCATGGCGGCCTCGGGCCATTTCGGCACACCCCTCACGAGGATCGTGGCCCCATAGGGAGCTCCACCGAAGGCGCCAGTGGCAGGGTTCGCATGGCGGCCTCGGGCCATTTCGGCACACCCCTCACGAGGATCGTGGCCCCATAGGGAGCTCCACCGAAGGCGCCAGTGGCAGGGTTCGCATGGCGGCCTCGGGCCATTTCGGCACACCCCTCACGAGGATCGTGGCCCTATGGGGAGCTCCACCGAAGGCCCCAGTGGCAGGGTTCGCATGGCGGCCTCGGGCCATTTCGGCTCACGAGGACCGTGGCCCCACTGGAGCTCCACCGAAGGCGCCAGTGGCAGGGTTCGCATGGCGGCCCCGGGCCATAGCGGCACATCCCTCACGAGGATCGTGGCCCCATAGTTGCGCTGCTTCAACAACCGCGCATGGGCGTCGTACTCCGCCTTGTCGACGTGCAACGCCACCTCCTCCCTCATGGCTCTCAAGGCCTTCTCCTGCTTCTGCTCCTCGGTGAGAGGGACGCCGTCCTTGTCGTCGTCGGCGCCCGCGAAGACGGCCACGAACGTGTCCCTGAGCATGTCGGGCTCCGGCGGGAAGCCGTGGCCACATAGGGAGCGCAGGCGAAGATGGCATTCACAATTGCGGCATTCACAACTGCATATGGTTGGGTCCTTCGCCAGGATAATTTAGCAGTTACCGGAGATCTTAGCACGCCTCTGGCCCGTTGGGCCGGCGAATATGTGTATACACGTATACATACGTTTTACGAAGGGAACGGGCCCAGCTTGGTCTCCCGGGGTTCTTTTGGGTGGCCTCTGGGAGCTTTCTTGGGGCGTCTTGGGGTCTCTTGGCCCTTCTGGAAGACAGCGTTGGCCGTCCTGGAGCGCTCCTGGAGTTCTTTCGGGGCGTCTCGGAGGCCTCTTCGGCACTCTGGGGCGGACTGGGAAGCCCGGGGGCCGCCGGAAGAGTATCCCAGGAGGCTCTCCTAGGCCGTCTCTGGGCTGTCCTAGACCGCGTTGGGGCGTTCTGGGGCGCCTCTTCGGGCCTTTTGGGGACTCTTCTAAAATTATATGTTTTACGAAAGGAATGGGGCCAGTTTTGTTTCCCGGGGCTCTCTTGGAGGGCCTCTTGGAGCCTTATTGGGGCGTCTTGAGGGCCTCGTGGCCCTTCTGGAAGCCATCTTGGGCCGTATCGGAGCGCTCCTGGGGCTTTCTCGGGGCGACCAGGAAGTCTCTTGGGCCATCTTGAACGGACTGGGAGGCCCGGGGGCCGCCAGAGGAGCGTCCCGGGAGGCCCTCCTGGGCCGTCTTGGGGCTGTCTCAGCCGTCCTGGGGCGTCCTCGGGCGCCTAAAGGGGCTTTTTGACCGCTCCGATGTCCACGGGAGCTGATATCCTAAAAACGTACGTTTTACGAAGGGCATGGAGCCATTTTGGTCTCCCGGGGCACTCTCGGGGGGCCTCTTGGGGCGGCCTCTTGGGGCGGCGTGAGGACCTCTTGGCCCTTTTGGAAGCGATCTTTGGCGGTCTTGGAGCGATCCTGGGGTTCTCTCGGCGCTGTTGGAGCCTTCTTGGGCGGACTAGAACGCGCGGGGGCCGCTGGAGGGTCGTCCCGGGAGGGGGCCGGTACCCATATACAAAGGAGGTTCCGGCCCAGCGCCCGGGGCCCGGAACTCCCATATATGTATGTATATATATTATATATATATATATATATATATATATATATATTATATATATATATATATATGAATATGCGAGGGCGAGGGCCATCGAGCGCGGCGGCGAGGCGTCGCGCTCTCAGAAGCGCAGCGCCAGCTATGACCCTCCTGGCCAGGCTTCCACCGTGCGCCTTCGTGCGTGGGGGCCTATAATGTGGGGGCTGGAGCAGCGCGCGCCACTGCGTGCGTTCTGGCAGAGCGGCCCTCTCGCGATAAACAAATCTCCCGACGCGCCCCCATGTCAGCGGGTACAGCCGAGGTCAGCGCGGAACATGCCGTCAAAAAAGGATCGGGCCGGTAGCATCACTCCGAGGCTGACGCCCACGCCGCCCGTGTCAAAATCGCTGGTCGACGATTTGGCCGCGACGGAGTCCTCTGCGCCATGGCATCGCGACTGCGGCCAGCGGTGGCAGGGCGAAGCGGCGTCTTCGCAAGCCCACTGGCGTGCCGACCCAACTGGTCGCTGGACATTCTGGTCGTCTTCTTCGAGCTGGGCTGGTTGGCAGGCTCCGCTTGGCGATCCGGGTCGGGATGCTGGTCGCGACGGCGGCCAGCGGTGGAAGGACTATCGTTCAGGCGGTAGGCGCGGGCGAACGGCTGAGACGATGTTTCGGTCTGACCCGGCCACTGCAGCTCATGGATATGAACCGCAGGCGCGCCGAGGCCGTCGACGGGTTGGTAGCTTTATGAGTTGATGGCTGGGCGGCATGCGCCTCCTAATGCTATATTTTGGGGCGGGGCGTGTCGGGGGTGCCCTCGACTTGTCCGACAGAGCGGCGACAGGAGCGCCCCCTTCCCTGCCGCCTGCGCCGTAAAAGCTTTTTGGGGTTGGCCCGGTGGAGGGCCCAAAGTGACCCAGTATGGGTGAAGGGGTGAAGGCTGTCCGACGCTTCCGGGACTTGCTGAAGGCTATTCGGCATGTCCCGCCTCTTTTGCTTGGGGCGTTAGCCAATGTGCTGACGTCCGCCCTGGCGCGGCGATGCCGCGCTGGGAGGCCGCGGGCGGAGTTGTTACTAACGTTCTCCTCGCCTTTTTCTGCTGCCCTCCACTCCTTTCCTTTGCACATCGCTGGTAGTCCACAGGTCATGCGGAAGGGCTGTCTCCGCAAAGGCGTACAGTTGCAGGGGGCGAAAACGCGCGCCGGCCAGCTGGGCGGGCGGTCCACGAGCACGCGCGCATTCGCACTGCGTCTTTGCTTGTAGTAATTCCGCTTGACGGACCTACCCTCATGTACTCGCCAATTCATAGTGGGAGGTTAGCTTCTCGTGAGCTACAAGAAGATGAAGATCAACAGGCAGAATAACCAAATAATGTTTGCCTAACTTGACGTGAGATAGGCAAAACACTGATTGCAACATCTGGTTTGCCTTGTGCAAACTGACTGCGCGACGCACATGGCGCAACATAGATCGCGACGCATATTTTCTGCAACGTAGATCGCACTAGCTATAGCACGCCACGTAGAATGCACGACGCAGACTGCGCCATATAGTTCGCACCGCATACATTGCACCACGTGTGTCTCACCACGCAGGTTCCTCAACACCGTTTCTTTTCAGTAACGCAACAAGTTCCACCACCCGAGGCCAGGCTTGACGGTTCCCCCCGGGAGCGCACAATTTATTTACGATTCTGCCCCATCGTTCGTTCCAAAAATGAAACCATGTGATCCCAGCCTGGCTCGCCTATATTGGCCCCGCCCCCCTCGTCCTCTGCAGAAGCACTATGCGCGCACACCTGTTGATCACAATTCGCCAATGTTCAAGAACCTCTTACAACCGCTGACACGACATGCACACTCGCGCGTCGTCGCGCGCATGCCGCAGTCCGTCAACAACTGCCAGGATCCGCAAGGATTGCACCCTCGAGTGTCCCGACAACGTACAAACACACACGCAAGGCTCTGCAACATGATTTTTCAACAGGACGTCGGCGGGCAGGCTCTGTCGAATTCTTGAACAACCATCGGCTGTCGATCAGATTCGACCAAACGGGCCTCTCGCGCACGCATGCCGAAATCATTCGAACGGCCGTGCGCGCATGTTGGAATTCTTTTCACAATGCCGACAGCGCCGACACGTGAACACCATCGTCATCGGCGCGATCATCATCGGCGCCGTCATTGGCCTTGCCGTCGTCATCGTCATCGTCGTCACCAGCATCGCTACAATCATCATCGTGGCAGCGGGTGTCGATGTCGCCATCATGCCGCGCCCGCCCGAGTCACCGACTCGCAGTGAAGTGCCCGCGCGGAAGCCCCCAGCGGTCAGCGCCACCGCGGACGCGTCGGTCGCGCCAGACTCGTTGGTTGGTCTGCGCGCGAGCTTGCGCGCGATATCGGTGCCGCAGCGATGCGCTAGCCAGCGCCAAGCTGTAATGGCAATCGCCGCCGCAAGGGTTCTGCAAACGAGGTTGCGGGTGGGTGGGTGGGTGGGATGATTGCGCGAGCAGTAGAATTGGCAACTCAATTTGAACAATATTGCACCACACCGCACAACACGTATTACACACGACCAACTACACCGCATATAGTGCACAACGTCGATCGCACAATCTTTATATATATACATAAATATATATAGCACATCGTAGATTGAGCAACACATATCGCGCCACGTTTACTGCACCACCCTCCTTGCCTCCTCGATATCATCCTCCTTCGCATCTTCCTTCCGTGGATTTGTCTCGTTTTTGGAAACAGACCGCTCCATGGTTCATGTTCCGCAATCTTCGTTCCTTTCGCTGAAATTGAGAGGCGGGCCGGGGGGGTCCCTCCGCGCCAACCTTTTTTCCCCATTGCTTGGTACGAGGGTTTTAATCAGCGCCTTCTCGTTCGCCGGCAGGCCCATCTACCATGATTTCCCCACTTCCTCGTCCTTCTCCACCTTTCTTCCTGCCCTCTCATTCCTCTTCGTCCTCCTATTCCCTCTACCCCTCATCCCCCCCACCGTCCTTTCCCTGTTCTTCTACCCCTCCCGCTTCTCCCCTTTGCACCACCGCCCGCCACTTCCCCTGCTGCCGATGCTGCTCTTCCTCCGCTTACCCTGTTCCACCACCTCTTCGCTTCTTCGCTTCACTCTTGTCGCGCTCAGGAACCCGATCCACCGTGCGCACTTCGAGCTTCTGATATGTGCCCAGCGTGACGTCAAGGAGTGCGACATGGAGGAGGAGGATGAGGAGGAGGAGGAGGAGGAGGCGGAGGAGGAGGAGGAGGAGGAGGGAGACATAGAAAAGGGGAGAACAAGGAGGAGGAAGCGTCGGAGGAGGAGAAGGATTGTCAAGGGGCACCGTAGCCATTTTGGATTAAGGCATTGCGCCATGCGCGTTCCCGTGTTGTACGATATCGGGTGTCGCGGATGGCAGCAAATTGCATTAGAGTTTCCGATTCCTGGGTTCTACGATGGGGCTTCCGCGGCTACAGGTGCGGATTTTGATTATTGCATGGACGACGCATGCTTGTGTGACATTGGCATGGTCCTGTCCTGAAGGTGGATGGCTTGTTGATTGGTAGCCAGCTATCCCATGTGGCAGGAGGCTTTCATCACTGAGCTGGGGTGCTCCCTGGCTGCGGACAAGGGGTCGCGTGCGCAGCCGCGAGATTAGTGCTGTTCAGCATGAAGGGTGCCTCGGAAGGCTCGTTGGAGAGGCTTCGCCATCGGTGGCCAACTTAGGCGTGTATTGCGCGGCTTGGAGGGCGCTGCGCACCAGAGGCAAGGTGAATGGAGCTGGGAGGATGCTTGAAGGCCTGGCAGGCTCGGGTCCTTTGTGATACCAAGCGTCTTCACACATGTGTACACATGTGGGTGCCATTGGGCGCAGCGATTTGAACATATTTTGTTTGGGGCCGTTGGCAAAACCACTGGGAGAACACTGTTTCTGGCGGTGGTGATCTCCCTCTCTACCTGGTGGCTTCTCTTTCGGCCGCCTCCTCCGGCGCCAACTCCAATCGGCTCCGCCGCCGCTGCCAGCGAGCCCCGCCAGCCCTACGTGCCCTGCGTGTTATGTGGCGCTGGTGAGGCCGAAGGCCCCGCCGACCTCAGTTACCAACGCCACCTGCGGGTGTGGAGGCAAGCTGGGGCCTCGCGATTTGGTTCGCGGTGATGTTCACCATATTCAAGTGTCTCATGGTCGGTTGCTTCGTTATCGGCGCTTATGACCGCAGCTGTTGTTGGTGGCGCGCCTGGACGCGTGGCGTACCCCCCGCCGCGCCTGGACACCTGATTGTATTCAGTGTTTTCGCCACGCTGCGACCCGTGCCGCTTCATGGGCGCCTCGTTGGGCGCCCCGAGCGCTGGGGGGGGTAGGCCGAGGTTGCGCCACGTTGCCGCCCGTGCCGCCTCGTGGGCGCTTCTTGGGCGCCCCGTGCTCTGAGCTGACGCGACATAGCTTTCACCACACAGCTCACACCACAAAGCTTACACCGCACAGCTCACACCGCACATCCTTAATCGCTTCGCTCATGCCGCCGGCCAGTATTGTACCATCGCAGGAGTTCGCCTGTGCGTTCGTGGCCTCTTGGGGCCTCTTGGGGGCCATTTGGGGGCCTGTTGGAGTTTCTTTTTGAGTCTGTTGGGGGCATCGTGGGGCATCCAGGGGGCCTCCTGGGCTCTCTTGGGGGCCTCTTGGGGTCTCCTGGGGGCCTCTTGTGGCGGAAGGTTCGAATCGGTGGTTCGTGTTTCCCCTCTTGAGCCCCTCATGGGGCCGTCTGGGGGCCCTCTTGGGCGCCTCTGGGGCCGTTCTGGGGCCCTCTTGGACCGTCTTGGGGCCCTCTTGGGGGCCTCTCGGGCCGTTTTGGGGCGGTCTTGTGGGCATCTGGGGCCATATTCCAGCGTCGGAAGCCCAGAAACGCAAGAACGCGAAAAACACAGAAAAACACAAAGACAATCAATAACTGTTGCTTCTTTGGGCCCTCTTTGGGGTCCTCTTGGAGCGCTCTCTGGGCTTATTTGGGGCCTCGTGGGCCGGCTTGCCATCTTGGGCGTCTTGGAGTGCTCTTGGGCCGTGATTCCGATTCGTGGGCCCTTTTGGAGCTGCCTTGAGGTCTTTTGGGGCCGCTTCTGGGGCGATCTGGAGGGCCCCGAAAACCGCCACCTGGAGCAAAACCACCTCTGATCCGCGTCTGCCGGGACCTTGCAGGGGTTCCGGGGGGTATTTTTTGCTGGGGGGTGAGATCGCAGTGGAACGGAGACCCCCAACCGGGAAATCGTTTCGTTTTGTTCGTGTAGTGCGTGCGGGCGAGGCGAAGCTGCGTGGGCGCGCGAGAGGAATGAACCCGCCGTTGCTAGGGCCAAGTCAAGCCAAATGATTCTCCCCCTCCCGCCCGTCCAGCGGTGGCTTGGGGTGTCCCGCGGTGTCCCGTGGTGTCCCGTGGTGTCCCGTGGTGTCCGCCGTTGCTAGGGTGAAGTCAAGACAAATAATTCTCCCCCGCCCGCCCGTCTGGCGATGGCTTGAGGTATCCCGCGGTGTCCCGTGGTGTCCCGTGGTGTCCCGTGGTGTCCCATGGTGTCCTGTTGAGTGAGATCGATAGTGCGATCGATAGTGAGATCGATAATGAGATCGATAGTGAGATCGATATTGAGATCGTTGTGGTGCCCCGAGGTGTCCCGTGGTGTCCGAAAAAAGTGAGATCGATAGTGAGATCGATAGTGAGATCGATAGTGAGATCGACAGGTGTCCCGTGGTGTCCCATGGTGCAGGTGTCACGTGGTGTCCTATGGTGTCCCGTTGAGTGAGATCGATAGTGAGATCGATAATGAGACCGAGAGGTGTTCCGCGGTGTCCAGTGGTGGCCCGTGGTGGCCCGTGGTGGCCCGTTGAGTGAGACCGATAGTGAGATCGATAGTGAGGTCGACAAGTGTTCCGTGGCGTCCCGTTGTGTCCCGTGGTGTCCCGTGGTGTCTTGTTGAGTGAGATCGATAGTGAGATCGATGATGAGATCGATAGTGAGATGGATACTGAGATCGTTGTGGTGCCCCGAGGTGTCCCGTGGTGTCCGAAAATAGTGAGATCGATAGTGAGATCGATAGTGAGATCGACAGGTGTCCCGTGGTGTCCCATGGTGCAGGTGTCACGTGGTGTCCTATGGTGACCCGTTGAGTGAGATCGATAGTGAGATCGATAATGAGACCGAGAGGTGTTCCGCGGTGTCCCGTTGTGGCCCGTGGTGGCCCGTGGTGGCCCGTTGAGTGAGACCGATAGTGAGATCGATAGTGAGATCGACAAGTGTTCCGTGGCGTCCCGTTGTGTCTCGTGGTGTCCCGTGGTGTCCCCTTGAGTGAGATCGATAGTGAGATCGATTGAGTCAGATGTTGGTTCCGCCCCCTCTTCCCCCCCATAACCTCCTTATCACCCGAAGGGTGGTCGTCTAGGTATTCATATCAGTGATTGGAGATCTTAGCAAGCCTCTGGCCCGCCATGCCGGCGAGTTACACAGCATAGTTTACATCACATGGCTTACACCCTACATCTTAAACCTCATAATGTCAGCTTCTGATAAATGAGACCCCCTGGGGCAGATGAATGGACCTCGCGGGGCGCGAAACATTTTTTAAATCACATGCGCCAGAGCTCGGAGAGCTTGGGGAGCCACTGCTCTACGGATGATGGCAAACGGCATGAACGACGAGGAGGGGGGAGCAAAAGCAACAGAAAGAGTAGCAGCAAAGGAGGAGGAGGAGGAGGAGGAGGAGGAGGAGGAGGAAGAGGAGGCCCCGCCGAGGGCTAATTCCTCGACGCACGGACGCCTTTGGCGCCAGGAGGCGCCAGGAAAATCAGCTAATTGCGCGAGCTGGCTCGCTACCCCCCCCCCGTTGCTATCCCCCCCCTCTCGCCCAGCCCGCCGTGTCAGCGGGCCAACGAGCCAGCCCGCGCCTTCGTGGCCTTGGCCGGGCGGAGGCAGCTTTCCGGTTTTCTGGTGCCGTGCCGAAATATACGGGGTCGGGGCGGACGGAGGGGGCGCTCTGGCTGGTGGGTGGGGGTTCGCGAAGGGGGCTCGCGGGGTAGTAGGGTGGTGGCGCCGTGCCGAAGTAAAGGTGTCGGGGCGGAGGGGGCGCGCTGGCTGGCGTGTGGGGCGATGCTTTCCGGTGCCTCGAAGGCCGATGTGTGTGGGGGGAAGAGCGCCAGCCACAGTTTTGTACCCTGTGGGTGTCGCTGCGCACTTACAGTTCGATGCAACGAGTCCTCTGCCCAGCAGCGGCCGCTGTCGGTGTCCATCACGGTGTTAAGTTTAGAGTTGGCGTTTAAGGTTGGGTTTCGTGCCCAGGTTAGGGTCAAGGCACAGGCTTTGCAGGGTTAGGTTAGGGTTAGGGTTGGGGTTCGGGCTGGTGCTTATGCGGAGAGGTTCCAGCTCGTGCCGGTTAGGTTAAAGTCCAACGCGCCTTCGATTCGGTTCGGTTCGATGTCGCATGCCTTCCAGTTCGATTCGGTTTGGTGCTGTTAAACGCATTGCCCGTTCGGCACACTTCGGCGTATTCTTGTTTCCAGTTTGGTCCGGTTCGGATATAGCGAGCATGGCGTGCCATTTAGCCCGGTGGAGTGCCCAGTGAGCTGCAGGGGCTCGCGTCGTCGTCAGTCGACCTTTCATTCGCCCGTCATCTGCAGGTCCCCTGCCTCGTCTTCAGGCGTCCTTCGTCATTCGTCCGTCGCATTCCTGTCGCGACTGTTTCCGGGGAGGTTCGGGGGGTGTACGAGGGTTTTTCTGTAGGGTTGGGGAGTGGTCTCGGGGAGAGGTCCAGAGGAGTAGGGTCTATAGAGGTTACGGGTGTGTCCGAGAGGCTTCAAGAGGTATCGAGGGTGTGGGGTGGGGAAGGGTCCTGCGAGGTTCCTGGAGTGGGGGGGTATTCCAAGAGTTCCCTGTGAGGGTCTGGAGGGATATCCAGGGGTCCAGCGATTTCGGTGGGTTCTGGGGGTCGTCGTCGTCGTCGTCGTCGTCGTCGTCGTCGTCGTCGTCGTCGTCGTCGTCGTTATTGTCGTCGTCTTCGCTTTGCCGTTCAGCGAGGAGGAGGAGAAGGAGGAGGAGGAGGAGGAGAATAAGAAGGATGAGCAGGAGCAGGACGAGAAGGATGAAGGACGATGGGAGCGGGAAGATGAGGACAAGAATGAGGAGTAGGGGGGACGGGTCTTTTCCCCATTCCTCGTCCTCTTCTCGTGCTTCCTTCTCCATATTTCACTTTCCTTCCTCGATCCCTTTGTCGTTCTCGTTTCCTCTCCCCTCCTTTACTCCCGTCATTGCATTTCTCATATTTTTTATTGCCCCTAGCATGAAGGACTCCATCCTTCTGGTGCACCCGACGTGTGGACCAACTCAGCCTGGCGATATCGATGGCGTGGTCAGGATCAAAACTTACGAGGCGCTGAAGGAGGATCGCACCTTCTCGGCCTCCGTGCTCCTACCCCTGGTGGTCCATCTCCTCTTCTTACTCTGAGTCCCCCCCAGGGGCTCGAAGATAATCACGCTTCGCACGTCGCGGCAAGGGCCAGAGAGGCTGCCCTTCTTCAAGGGGGCTTGACGAGGGCGCGAGGGCTAAAAAGATGATCGCGCATCGCGGGGCGCGATGTGCGAAATCAGGTCAGTTAGTTATTGAATCGCTTCGCCCATTCCGCCGGCCGGTATTGTGCCATCGTTGGCGTTTGCGTGCGCGTTCGTGGGTCATGCGGCGCTGTTGCGGTTGTGGGTGAGAGTCCTCATGGATGCTTCTTGGTGTCTCTTCGGAGGTTCTCGGGGGGCTCCTGTGGGGTCTTCCTGGGGGATCTTGGATGCCTCTTGGGGCTCTCTTGGCGCCTTTTGGGGGCCTCTTGGACCCTCTTGCGGGGCTCTTGGGGGCCGCTTGGGGCAGCCTGGACGACTCTTTGGGCCGAGGGCTCGAAATGCCGTTCGGCTTCCTTCCTGGGGCTCTCTCTGTCCGTCTTGGAGGCCTCTGGGGCCGTCTTGGGGCTCTCTTGTGCTTTGGTGGGGTTTTCTTGGAGGCCCCTTAGTCCGTCTTGGAGCGGTCTTACGGGCTTCTTGGGCCGTCTTAGAGCGTCGCGCCTTAGGCCCCTGGGGGCGTCAGGACCCTGGGGACTCCCTTCCCGACCCCCCCCCTGGCTCTCTCCCCCGGGACCCCCCCCGGGACCCTCATTGGGACCCCTCGCCCCGGCAGAGAAGTGATCAAGGGAAAGGGTTTCCCTTCGAATCATTTACGACGTTGTGTGATTTCCATTTGGCTGGGTCGATAGAGGAGGAGGGCCCGGGAAAATGAGGGGAACGGCGACGGCGACGGCGACGGCGACGACGACGACGACCCAAACGGAAAAAATGTCTCATACATGTCGGCAGGTCGGCGGATTTGTTCTGGTGAAATGGCCCCCTTATCATTGTAGATCTGTCGACGCCTCAATATTCCGTTTAAAATCTATGCAACGTCTCGGTTGTTCTTGTGGCGTTTGGCGTGTGCACCCTGGTCATTGCGCAGTGTTTTTGACAGGGGTGGTGGGCCAACGCGCGGCGGAACATACGCCGCCATCCGCATCATTCTGGGCAAGAAGTATACATCATGACGATAGGGTGCCCGTGCACGGTCCACTGTTCACCGCCACGTGTATTTTGCAGCAGCTCTTGACAACGGTGATGGGCCTTGGTCGGCGGCCGTTCTAGCCGGAGGGGAGCGTTCGTTGATCAGGAGCAGTGTTGCCTAGAGGAGGCAGGGGTGTAGAGATGGAATTGCACTCGAGACAACCGTCCGCACTGCTGGTCTCCTGGGATTATGGAGGCTGCGTGGGTAAGGAGCATGGTAGAATGAGGGGGAGGAGGAAGAAGAGGAGGAGGAGGAGGAGGAGAAGGAACAGGGATGTCAGGTACAGTATCGAGACCCTGTGAGAAGCGTTCGCGCATCCCGGATGCCCCCTTAACGTCCTACTGTCCAATGCGTTAGAGAAGGTCCGCTCTCTGAAATCCCGCATGCGCTCTTTTGATGGAGAGTGAGGATTCGAGTATTCCCTCGGCTCTCGGTCATGCTCATCGTCGTCATTGCTGTCTCTACCCCCGCCTCTTCAGTGTTTGGCCGTCCTCGAACATATTTGTTGGTGCTAAGGAAACGAAGGAGAAGTATCCGATGTTCCGCTGGGCCTACCTGCCGTACAGCATGAAGATGGCCGGACCTCGCGAGGCCTCGAGGAGGAGGATGAGGAGGATGAGGAGGAGGAGGAGGAGGAGGAGGAGGAGGGGGAGGAAGAGGAGGAGGAGGACGAGGAGGAGGAGGAGGAGGCGCCCTGTTTAGGGCGGTTCAAAGCCCCCATCCCTTAGGAAGGTCAGTGTGGCACACCATATTGTTACTCTTCTCAGCATGTTTGCATCATATTCCTTCGAGTTGAAACTCGTTCTCCAGCTCCTTCCCATCCTCCTCCATGTCAACCTCCTTTTTCTGTTTCTCATCTTCCTTCTCCCTCTCCCCCTCCTTATCCTTTCCTACATATTCCTGTCTCTTTCTCTTCATTATTGTCGTCCTCTCTTATCTTTCCCTCTCCTTCTGGTCTTCCACGTCGCATGCACCCTGCGGACGATTCGTGCCACTGTGAAGCCTAAGTTTCGCGAACTGCTTATGCATCCTCCATGGAAATTCATTGTCCTCCACTGCAGTCGAGTTTGATCATAAGGTCTGTCGGCCCTTCCAGATCAAGGGTGCCCTTGTGTCTTGTGCTTCCCGATCCGTGTCCTCTGCATTTCCGGGGCACTGGCCCTCGGAAGGGTCTTGTGCCCTCTCGCGTACTCTCTTCAATCAAAAAACGACTGCACATCATAAATTCATCATTCAACCTGTCGAGTCTGGCACAACTCTGGCCGCACTGCTCACGTTCCGTTCCCGCAGGGGGGCCGCGGAATTTAACCCGCAGAGAGCGAGTCACGGCGAGCCCCCCCAGGGAGGGGCTCGCACGCCGATCTTGGACTCAGTGGATGTACTCGGGGGTGGTGGATTCCACGAGAGTCTCTTGGGGGGCATGTCTTGGACGTGATGGGAGGCTTCTTGGGGTCCGGGGCCGCTTGGTCGCAGGGTCACGTTTCTTCGGGTCGTTGGTCACAGCGCGCTGAAGATGTGCTCATTCTAGTTCTATGTCGCCCTCCCTGGTTCCCCGCTTTGAGAGCCGACCGCGAGGCTATCCAGCACATGATCATTCGCAAGAACTACGGTGCCGTCCACAGGGAAGTGAGGATTCAGACGCATTCGCTTAATTGTCATGTCGAACAGCGGTGCCGGTCCCACCCTTCCGTTCTTCCCAGCTCGAGGTAGGGCAGACCTTTCCCCTAAGGGGAAGAGGAAGGTTGGAAGACCACATTCTCTCAGCCACCTACGCCTAAAGGACTGTTGGGATTACTCAGTTTGAGCACCCTCCGTGGATTATCACCGAGCTGGGCGACGCTTCTCCCGCATATTTTTTTCAGGCACGCAGAATTCCTCCATTTTGTTTTGTGCAATGTGCTTGTGCACTCGGAGCGTCTTTGGTTCTGCAACATGGTGTTCCTTCAGCAGCGCTAGCCTCATTTCAGAAACGACACCTTTCTTTCACGTCGTTCAGAATGGCGATCTCGCCCCAACGCGGACCACACTTGTGAACCCGATTGTTTCCTCTTCGTTGTCGCCCCCAGCTTTCCCTCTTCTGCCTTCCCCTGGTCCTCATGTTCCTCCCGCTCCTTCCACTCCTTTTACTCCAGCAGGCTGTTGCTGCTGCTGCTCCTGCTGCTCCTGCTGCTGCTCCTCCTCCGCCTCCTTCCCCACATTTTTTTTTTGTCCAGCTCATCCTCATGCTTATCCGCCACCTCGCGCTCACCTTTTTCTGTTTGCGCATCCCACGATGGGGTCACGTGGGATCCAGGTGCCCACTAGGACACCAATCGGCGGACAGAAACAGCAACAGCGCAAGGAGAATCTATAGGTGAGACGAGTAGGATGTCAGACGTGGCGCGCGCACCTAGTTTTCCCCCTTCGCCCCTCTGCCATTCCATGTTCCTGGTCCTCCCTCTTTTCTCGTTTGTCACTCCATCTCCCTGCACCCCCCTCCCTGCCGAAAGGTGTCAGTCGGCGCTCGCAACGAGCGTCCGCTTCTGAGTCACCCTCTCTATGACCAGCTTTTGATTTCACGGCGAGGCGTATGCCAGCATTGTTGGCGTGCAGTGTGTGTTGTGAGCAATGGATCCTTGCCAAATGTGCAGCATTCGTGAACTTCATATCTTTCATTGCGCTCGCTATTTCCCCAATAATCCTTGATGGGCAGGAGGTACTGATATGTAATGATGCATCCACCTCTTTGCACATGAGTGCTGTTCAATGGACATGCCCAGATATACGAAGCCACATCGGGACCACATTGGTGTAACAGTTTCCCACTGATGGGTCCGAGATGCAAACCATGTTGAACAACCTGAGGTGTGCATTCACCTTAGCTTTGAGCGAAAGAGGGGTCTCAATGCCAGCCCGAGTCGGAGCAAAACGCGCCGTATATTGCGGCGACCGTGGGGGCTCTTGTGCAGGTGCTCCACGTGCCAGAATTGATGTGGTTGTGATGCTTGGCTTAAGTACAACACATTTTCGAGGGGGTACCGCCTTCCGCATGGCAGCGGAGCCTGGTCCCCCGCGGCCAGGCAACCTCGCGCAAACCCGACAGAGAAAGTTTCGAGCCTTTCTAGGCCAGCGGCCCGCCATGGTGACCCCAGGTGAGTTATTGCAGAGACCAGTTGCATTGGATCAGGTGGTCGTTCTGCAGAGGACCCAGATAGAGCCTCAGCATAAGACGGGCACATCATAGACTCAAACACAACCCGTCGAACAACGACCTGAAAATAAAGCTCGGCCGACAGCGAAGGTACACGAAAATGCTGGGCAACTAGGAAAGATTCAGTGGAGATATCGACGATAATTCCAAGTACGAGGACGGCATCACAAGGGAGAACTGGAGCTTCGTCCCTTCGGGCTATTGCGTGGCGGTCGATCATCACATGGCTGGGCCCTTGAAAAAAGCATCCAATGTGAACGCTGAGGGGTACGAGCGCGAGTAAATGAGGACGCCCACCGAGCCAGCGCCAATGACATTCAAGGATGCTGGCTCAGGGCATCGCGAAAAGCGCTCCACCCGGAGAAAATCAAGGCATGCTAAGCGCGATCTGGTTTCCGACTTTGCGGGGGAGCGGCCCGATCAAAGGCGTCGTATCTAGGACGCTGAAGTCACGGAGTCCATCATGAAATCAGTCTTGAGCACGGGGATTGTCGCCGACAAATTGCGGGAACATGTGACGCTGAACGCGACGGTGGCACGACATGCAAATATGTTCAAGTTGAGGCCACCAACTACACGAAGCCGAAGCATGCAGTTATGGCTTCATAAGGCCCGGTGACGATGGACTGGGGCCCGATCGCGTTCGACAGCAACTGCGGCGATGGTGAGTATTGCAAGTCAGGCGGAGGCAAGACCAGCTGGAATTATCGCGGAAAGGGGCGCGACGATCAGGGACCGTATAAGTGCTGCAACGAGAACGGTCACGAGCTGATGGGGCGCTGGGAAACATGCCAGGACTTAGAGGACGGCAAGACCGCGAACGAACGGCCGCGGTCGATCGGCACGCGCAGAGGCAACGGCGAGACGAAACCCACGGATGGACCGCGATGGCGAAGGGGGCCACGCATTCACGCTGGGAGATGCGCGCGAGACGGAGACAGGAGGGCCCGCAGTGCACGATCACGGACAAGTGTGAGCAGCGCGAACATGACCTGGTGATTGTGATAGGCGGCCAAGACTAAGGCATGACGGTGGAGGGCGAGAGGTGGCGGTCTGCTCGCGTTCGGCAAGGGGCGCGCGCCCGCCTGCGTTCGCACCGAGAGTGCTTTGCCATTGTCTTGGCGGCGCGCCTCCACTCGCACAAGCAGACGCGGCAACGATATGCGCGGACGGCGTGGCGACAATTAAGATGGAGACGCGCGACGCGCGCAACCGTTCGAAGGCCAGTCTGTCGCGAGGAGTGCGCGCGAGACGATCGTCGCTGCGAGTGGCGTCGCTAAGGGAACTCAGGGGGCTTTGTCTGATGGGGGCGGGGGGGGGGGGCGTTGTGAACGAGGAGATGGCGGAGCGGATCCTGAACCCCATCGAGAGTCCCATCGAGAGTGAAACTGGTTGCGCGAATGCTAAGCCTTTGGGGGTCCAGGAGCGCGGAGGCATCTACAGCTTCGACTGGGCGCCAGGACGCCGTGCCCGACGGGGGGTCCGGGGGGCCAGTCGACGACGAGAGCGAGGCGGCGAACGCCCGATCTCAGGATGGACAGTTGCCAGCCGACGCCCGCGTAGAGCAGGGCCCACGAGGCAGCGTGCATGCCGCTCAGAGATGGGCGCAAGCGGCGCCAACGGGGGCGCAGCGAGGAGGGGGCGCGCAGAGCAGCTGTGCGCGAGGGCGCGCCGACCACCCTTGTCCTCAGCATGGGCTACTCCTTCATTCACTGCGAGGTCGAGGTGGACATGGCGACTGTCCTGGCGATGGCGCAGAAGCCAGAGGACGCCGTGGCCACAGTCGTGGAGGCGATGGTCCGCGGGCCCCGAGTGAACGCGTCAACTCGGCGGATAGGTTATACCTTCACGCCTGGGGCTCGGTTGACATTAGGTTTGACGGGCGACCGGAAGGCCTCGCCCTGGGCGGCCGCCTCGGCGGCAACGCAGAGGAGGAAGCGCGGCGCGGTGGAAGAGAAGCCCCCCGAGGCTTCGCATCAGAGCAGCGGCGCCATCGAGGAAGCGGTGGGGCAGATCGAATAATTGCCCCGACCGCTGCGCGCCGCGCTCGAAGACGAGTTCCAGCTCAAGATTGGACCCAGAGGCCCAAACATGCCTTGGCTCGCTCGCCACGCGGGTTTTCCATTCGCGTGTCTCGCGGCCAAGAGTGGAGGCCGCGCGCCTGGAGAGAGCGGGGCGAGCTAAATGCAGGGCAGAGAAGATCGGCAAGGCCATCGGTCGCAGCATCCAAGCCTTGCATCTGGCTGAGGGGGCGCAAACGGCCCCACTATAATATCGAGAACGACTGGCAAACATGCCAGACACATGCTTCTATGCACTTCAGCTCTGACGCCGTTAAAACTTCGAAGTTCGCAAATAAGTTTGGGCCAAGTTCGGCGGCGACGACGTTCCGAACGCCCAGAGCGCGTTCGAATTCTTTCTGACATCCAGAATTTGCTTGGAAAGGTCCAAGCTTATTCAAGTGTCCCAAAATTTGTCCGACATCTGTCAGGGCAAGTGAACCCCTGAACTTCCGAACCTTGGTTTGAAACTACCGCCCTCGGTGGTTTCCGAGCTCGAACTTTTGACGTGCCCGCCCGCCCGAACACAACTCTGATTGGCGTTCGAGCTCCAAGGTCGCCCCCCTCAGTCAGATGCAATCCAGGCCAGGGATTGCTCCGAGCTGGGGCCGAGGTGAGGCGAGCGAGGGCATCTTCCTCGGCAGGCGCGACGAGGGCGGCGAGATCATGGCGGGTACTGCGCGGGGCCGAGCGCTTGAGGGCGCCCGGGGAGATGCCGCGGGGGGTTCGCAACGCGTTCGCTGGTGTGCCCTGGGCCCCCCCAGGGCCTGGGCCAGAATGAGGCTGTCAGGATTAGGAATGACATTGCACGGGCGGCGGCGGAGGGTCGCGCTGCTAGACGCTCTACATGCGAGGGCAACTCGTCGATTCACACTGCGAGATGCACGGCGAGGGCCCGCAAGGTCTTTGAAGGGCAGAGCCCAGGTCAAGAATTGCCGCCTCTCCGAGAAAGAGCAGCAGCACGCCCAGAAGCTGGGGCGCCACGGGGGCCGCGGGGAGTTCCACCGCCACCCCGCGCATCTGAGGCGCATGCAAGGATGCCAGGCGCGCCAGCCCTACACCATGCGAGGCGAACCGGGCAGGGAGGTGGGGATGGACGCGGCAGGAGGGCCCCAGGATCACCTGGACTACGAGGCGGCCGGCTCCGCTGGGACACCAGCGTTATGGGGAGTCAAGCTGGCCTATTCATGAGCAGCGACCCGCGCCAGAGACGGCCGAAGGAGATTCGAGAGGGCCAGGCGGACAACATAACGTCATTGGCATGCGCTCCTTCGGTAGCCTCTCACTCACGCGAATATCATGGAACCGCAGCGCAGTGCCGCCCCGCGTGAACAGAGGCGGCCTGGGATGTAGTGGAAGCCGGATAGGACACTGCGCGGCGCGCCTGCCGCGTCGATGCTGTTCAGGGAGAGGTTCGAAAGAACTTCCAGAGGTGCGGCTGCGCGGAGCTCAAGATGACGCGCGGCGCAAATTGCAGCCCGCAGATGGACCCCTTCTGCGCGGGCCATGGGGGCAACATCTCCGTGGGGGTATGCGATGAGGAGATCAGCACCTTCGATGGGTTGACGTCGACCAGGTCCAAGGTCGAACCTCATCTTCGATTGGGGCCAGGCGGGGCTCGAGGATATGCGTTCTCGAGCAGGGCGGCGCGGGGGGGGGGCTTCGGCGTCCTGCCCGATTCGGAGCTCATCTTGTATATGGGTGAGGGATTCGAGCCGAGGCGCGCGAAGGTGGCGGACGCACCGAACCCGTATCACTGTGCAGAAGTAGCTCGGGGAGCTGAGGGCCGCTGGCACGAGCAATCATTATGGTGCATCGACGCCGCGGTGGCCTCGCCCAGTCCCTGGCGAGCGACAGCGGGGACGTCCCGGAGTCCGCGAGGTGGCGGAGCTGCGCCATGGGCCGCCCGAGAGTGAAGAGCCCGCTCGAGCAGATGAGGCTGGTCCGGCACCTGACGGGCGCGACGGACATCTCATGTTCAACCCCTGCCAGGAGGCGACCGACATGTCGACGGTGCCCGCGGGCGCCGATGGGGCTGGGAACGGCTCCGCGTTCAAGGGCATCTCGTTCAAGGGCATCTACTAGGACAGCGCCTGCTGGATAACCGGGCGCCATCGCACGCGACGGTGGCACTATCGAGTGGAGCGTCGGAGTTCTACGTCGCGGGGTCGGGAACTGCGAGGGGGCCCACTATCGAGCGCGCACTCGGGGAGATGGCCAATCTCAGGAACGAGCAGCATGACATTGCACAGGGCCTGCGCGCGGATTTAGCAGCGAAGGACATGATCCGTAGACATTTGGTCCGACGAGTCGAACCTACAGACGCAGTGGATGTGGCATCCGGACATGGCGAGAGACGGGGAGTTGATGCTTTCTAAAGTAAGCGAGGACCAGGTCGCCGACATCTGGACGGAGCTGATGGATAAGGATGCCCCCTCGAGACATATGAAGACGCTTGGCCTGATCAGCATCGGCGTGACGAGCTTCACAAGCCCCGAGATGCTGGTGAAGGTCACGGCGGTGATGGGCCTGGCTGGGCAGGCAGGCAGACGCGGGTGCTACGACGACTTGAACGCCAGCGTGACTGTCTCCAACTCGAGTGGGTGGTGGAGTCTGACAGCCGCGATATCATTCGCGCCGGTGCTCACGACGTATATCATCAGGGCCAAAATGGTCGAGCGCGGGGTTCGAGGCCATCGGCGCCCGGCCCTGCGGAGCAGGAGGGAGAGAGAGGAGGAGCTTGGTCCACGAACCCCGTTTTGGCCACGTGAGACATCACCGAGGAGCGCGATGCGAGCGAGAGAAGAATCGCCAGCGAGAGAGGTGCACGAGAGGATGAGAAGGGTTTCTATGCAGGGCCTGCCGCGTGCAAGTCGAGATCGAAATTGCGTGGGCTGGCCGACGGGAGGTGCTGGCCGCTTGGAGATGCAGAGCGGTGAGTTTGGAGCTGTTGAGAGTCCGCGCGCGCCCTGCGAGGCCCAGATTGGACCTCGGGGGTGAGAGCTGCGGGGCCCGATCAACTCCCGAGGCGGCGCGCGCGAGAGCCAACGAACGCGTCTAGACGACGTTCTACGCCATGGCAGGTTGATGTTACTTGTAATTTGATGTTGGTGGCTGAGCGAGCCTGCCAGCTAGCGCGGCAGTCCCGAGGGCTGCAGGAGGTTCGCGTGTCAGAGCTGAGTCAGAGGCCAGCAACATATGCACACGTACGCGGTTAGCTTCCCCTGGAGTGCGCGTCAACGCGGACGTTCGTGCAGGCCAGACCGCGGAGGGCGTGCATGTACACATGTCGTTGCTCGCCCACTGAGATTATGATGGCGATGTCTGGTGAGGTGATGTCAGGCCCAAGAAAACGCCTTCCGCACCTTGGGGTGATATTGGGTCTTTGGGGCGCCTCGCGGGGCACATTTTGGGCGATCGTGGAACCATTTTGACGTTTCAGAACCATTTGGATGCGACGCGTGGATCATGCAATCTCCGCGAATTTCCTTTAGTACGGTGATGGGCGGATGCTGGCCCTCCTGGGGCGCCCGCGGGAGAATCAGTGGCCGCGTGGCGCCGCGTTGGGGCGGCAGTGGGATTTATTGGAGGCATGTTGGAAGCTGTCGTGGGTCAATTTTGAATGTTTTGAGCATTATCGAATGTTCTATTGCGTGGTATGGCGCCGCCTTTGACAGTATTGGGCGCTCTAACATCCCGCTCCCGCCCCGTGGGAAGACTTGGATTGGAATTCGAGACTCCCTCATCCACATCTGCCCATCGGGCTGGTGGATCTTTCCTGCCAGCGCGTTCGCTGGATGCTGTACGAACAGTTAAAGCCCGTTATCATCTCCAGGAATGTTCTTACAGCAATGAGGCTTCGCAGCAGTGTGCCAGTTTTGTTTATGCAGCGGGACAGGTGGCTAGTCCGCATCGAGGCTTCGGACCTTGAAGATGCAGTCTCGGCGCCCGCTTGCGCCGTTTCATCACCATCCGGGGTCGCAATCGGATTATCGCGGGGGTCTCTCGGGCCGTGTCGGGGATATTCGCTTGCATTTGAAGTCTTCTTGGGATGTCGGAGCCTGAAGAGGCGCGAGCGTGAAGGGAACCAACCCGTATGTTATATGCTGATTCCTTTCTGGCGACATCCCGAGCAGTCTTAGGGCGTGCGTGAGCCGTCTCCAGATCTCTTGGACCGTCCTCTGGGGCCACCGGTGCCTTTTTGGGGGGCCCTCCTCGGCCGCTTGCCAAATTTTTCGGCCTCCGGAAATGCCGCGCGGTTCCCCACCCCGTCCTTCTTCCGTTTCCGTGCGCCCTGTCCCGGCATGCGCTTCGGAGTTGCGCCGAGCAGCGCCGAGGAGATCCTGTGGCATCGATCGGCGGCGGGCCCAGGGGGGATGCAGAGGGGGGGATTTTTTCAGAGGGCTCGGAAGGCTTTGGGCCTTCAGAGAAGTGTCCGGAGTCTCCTCCGAAAACGCAGAACTTTTTAGAGAACGCGAGGGCTTTCTGAGAAGCCCCGTCGCCTTCTGAGAAGGCCTGCCCCCTCCCACTTCCCCCTCTGGTCTCGCCGCCGAATTGAGTTGCGTTGGGCGGCGCCAGGGCGCCAGTGGCGTTGAGCGGGGTTTCGTGGCGCAGAGAGGCATTGAGCGGTGTTGAGCGGCGTGTTCGCGTGGCGCGGAGTGGGTCAGAGCGGCGCTGGGCGCTGCCGCGCGGTGCTGTTTGGCCATGAGCGGGTTGAGTGGCACCGAGCGGCGCGTTGGCAATCCAAGCCCACGTGGTGATCACACTGAGCATGTATCAAGGATGAACACGAATGGAAAAATGGGGGCGGGGAGGAAGAGTAGGAGGAGGATGAGGAGGAGGATGAGGAGGAGGAAAAGCCGGAAGAGGAGGAGGAGGATGAAGAGGTAATGGTGGAGGTTGGGGAGGAGCAAACGGATACGGATATTACGAAGAAGAGAAATAACGATAATATTAAGAATGCTAAGACATATCATTGTGATACTTCTAAGAATACGAATGCTAATATTAATACTTATATTATGAGGAAGAAAGAAGAGGAGGAGAAGGAGGAGGAGGAACAATTGGAGAAGGAGGAGGAGGGAGGGCGAGAAAGGGAATGAAGGACAGGAAACTGGAAACAGAGGACGGGGGAAAAGGCATGAGGAAGCATGAAGAGGGAGGGGGCAGGAGGAAGGAGACACGGAGCGATGAACAGAGGACGAGGACGAGGAGGAGGAGGAGGAGGAGGAGGAGGAGGAGGAGAAGGAGGAGGAGGAGGAGAAGGAAGAAGGAGGAGACGGGGAAATGTGACAGCACCGCCTTGCAGTGCAGAACATGACCTTGCAGGAAAGCTGGGTCGTGCAATGGATGCCGCCGCAACGGTCCGTAACGATTTTTTACCTGGCAGCGCAATGAACACAATGGGAAGGTAAAGCAACACGTGGCAAAGCGATGACGGCACGATCAAAACAGGATGTTGCATTTCAACACACATAACAAAACAAAGTGTTGAACATACCAGCTATGAGAGAGTTGTTTGTCTAGATCTGTTGGGGCGGCGGGAGTTCATGTTTACAATGCGTGCGCAGGAACCTGCCCATCCTCCCGTGATGGTACTCGCACTTCATTGGCCTCCCAGCAGGTGCCACACACTTCATCATTGGCCGCGACATGGCCGGGACCAAGAGCACTATTACCGGTGATGATTTTTACGGGGCGTACGATGCGCAGGAGTCCAGCATGGATGTTGCTTAACCCATTTATGCAGTTGGCTTCACTATCCCTCCTCATGTCTCTCCACCCTTTCTCCATCCCCTCTCCCTCCCTCTTCCTTCCTCTCTCCCTCCCGCCCGCGTCCCTCGCGCCTGATCCTCATCGTCATCGGCGTCCTCGTCCTCCCCCTCCTCATCGCTGTTCTCTTTGTCCCCTTCCTCCTCCGCCTCCTTCTCCTCCTCTCCTCCTCCTCCGCCCTCTCCCCCTCCTCTTCGTGCTCATCATCATCATCATCATCATCATCATCATCATCATCATCATCATCATCATCATCATCATCCTCATCCTCATCCTCATCCTCATCCTCATCCTCATCCTCATCCTCATCCTCATCCTCATCCTCATCCTCATCCTCATCCTCATCCTCATCATCGTCATCATCATCATCATCATCATCATCATCATTGCCATGCGGCTCGAGCCGTGCTCGTCTTGCCGTATTGCGACCTTGCGCGCAGCTGACCTGCGCGCACGGGACGCGTCCCGTCGTCGCCATGGCGCGGCCGCTGGAGACCTGGACCCCGTCGGCCCCAGCGTCGACAGGCGGAGGCGTCGGCGGGCAGCCCGCCGCGCATCCGAGGCGCTGCTGCAGGCGACTCTGCGCGAGGCGCGGAGCCTGCGACGGCGCTGCAACGAGCTGACGGCCGAGGTGGAGGCCATGCGGGCGGCGCAGCCTTCGGCAGCTGCCCTGGGGGCGCGGGCCGCCGCCGCCGCGATCGCGGCCGCCGCCGTCGGCGGCTCGGGCGGCGCGCCGCGCTCGGCGCTCCGCAGCTCGGCCGTGCCGTTCCTGGTAGCCGAGGCGGAGGGCCGCACCGTGGACGGGGACGCGGTGGAGCTGCCGGGGCTGCCCGCCGTGGATTTTCGTGGAGGTGCGGATCATCGTGGAGAGGATGACCATCGTGGCGGTACCGACCCTCGCGATGGTGCCGATCCTCCCGGGGGCTCCGAGCGCCTCGCCGAGCAGGAGGCCTTCGGCGACGACGGCACGGAGCCAAGCACGGAGCTGGACGACTTTGGGAAGGAGGCCCTGGAGCTTCCCCGCGGCGCCGAGGTCGCGCACGAGGACGCGGCGGAGCAGGCGATGCCGCTGGCGCTGATCGTCTTCGGGTCCGCACTCGTGTCGCACTTCGGCGCTGGCGCGGCGTGCGCCGCCGAGACATGTTCGCGCAGACACTCCTCGTGTTGCCCGTCGTGGTCACGGCGGCGGTGGCGCGGAGCTTCGCCTCCGCGAAACAGCGCGGCGCCTGGCTCGTGGAGCTGGCCGTGGTGCTGCTCTCCAGGATGCCGCCCGTGCCCAGCGTGCGGACGCTGCTCCTGGCGGACCTGTGGGCGGGGCTCGCCGAGCTCGGGCGCCGCGCCCGTCGGCGCGGGGGCGGCGGGCCTACCGCGCCGTATCCACCGCGACCCCGGCAGCGGGAAAGCGGGGCGGCGAGGCCGCCAGCGCTCGAGGAAGCAGCTGGAGCAACCGAGGGCGGAGGTGGCGAGGCGCCGCGGGCCTCGCACTGCCCCCTCGGCCACCGCCTCAAGAAGGGGCGTGACCAGTGCGCCGTGTGCAGGGCCATGACGGCCGCGCCACGGCAGCTGGGCCGCCCGAGCCAGCTGCACGCAATTCGAGCCGCGGGTCGGCCTGAAGGCGCGAGGATAAGACGAGGGTGGATCGTTCAAGCGAAAAGACGCTCGTTCGAGCGAAAAGGTAATCCGTTCAAGCGAAAACCAACCGAGCGAAAACCAATCCAGAGCAGCAGAGAGCAGCAGAGAGCAGCAGGGAGCAGCAGAGAGCAGCAGAGAGCAGCAGAGAGCAGCAGAGAGCAGCAGAGAGCAGCAGAGAGCAGCAGAGAGCAGCAGAGAGCAGCAGAACAGCAGAGAGCAGCAGAACAGCAGAGAGCAGCAGAACAGCAGAGAGCAGCAGAACAGCAGAGAACAGCAGAACAGCAGAGAGCAGCAAAACAGCAGAGAGCAGCAGAACAGCAGAGAGCAGCAGAACAGCAGCAGAGCAGCAGAACAGCAGCAGCAGCAGCAGAGCAGCAGAGAGCAGCAGAGAGCAGCAGAGACAGCAGAGAGCAGCAGAACAGCAGAGAGCAGCAGAACAGCAGAGAGCAGCAGAACAGCAGAGAGCAGCAGAGAGCAGAGAGCAGCAGAACAGCAGAGAGCAGCAGAACAGCAGAGAGCAGCAGAACAGCAGAGAGCAGCAGAACAGCAGAGAGCAGCAGAACAGCAGAGAGCAGCAGAACAGCAGAGAGCAGCAGAACAGCAGAGAGCAGCAGAACAGCAGAGAGCAGCAGAACAGCAGAGAGCAGCAGAACAGCAGAGAGCAGCAGAACAGCAGAGAGCAGCAGAACAGCAGAGAGCAGCAGAGCAGCAGCAGAACAGCAGAGAGCTGGCCTGGATCTCTCCAAAATCATGGTTCCCGCCATCCTCGGGGCCGCCGTGGGTCCCAGGGGCGCCAGCCAGAGCCGGGAACCATGATTTCGGGCTTTTCCGGCCTGGATCTCTCCAAAATCATGGTTCCCGGGGCCGCCGTGGGTCCCAGGGGCGCCAGCCAGAGCCGGGAACCATGATTTCGGGCTTTTCCGGCCTGGATCTCTCCAAAATCATGGTTCCCGCCATCCTCGGGGCCGCCGTGGGTCCCAGGGGCGCCAGCCAGAGCTGGGAACCACGATTTCGGGCTTTTCCGGCCTGGATCTCTCCAAAATCATGGTTCCCGCCATCCTCGGGGCCGCCGTGGGCCCCAGGGGCGCCAGCCAGAGCTGGGAACCACGATTTCGGGCTTTTCCGGCCTGGATCTCTCCAAAATCATGGTTCCCGCCATCCTCGGGGCCGCCGTGGGTCCCAGGGGCGCCAGCCAGAGCCGGGAACCACGATTTCGGGCTTTTCCGGCCTGGATCTCTCCAAAATCATGGTTCCCGCCATCCTCTGGGCCGCCGTGGGTCCCAGGGGCGCCAGCCAGAGCCTGGGACCATGATTTCGGGCTTTACCGGCCTGGATCTCTCCAAAATCATGGTTCCCGCCATCCTCGGGGCCGCCGTGGGTCCCAGGGCGCCAGCCAGAGCCGGGAACCATGATTTCGGGCTTTTCCGGCCTGGATCTCTCCCAAATCATGGTTCCCGCCATCCTCGGGGCCGCCGTGGGTCCCAGGGGCGCCAGCCAGAGCCGGGAACCATGATTTCGGGCTTTTCCGGCCTGGATCTCTCCAAAATCATGGTTCCCGCCATCCTCGGGGCCTCGGATCGCACCTGTGCTAGAAAGTCCATGAGGACTTGAGCTTTTCCAGCCTCGATCTCTCCAAAATCATGGTTCCCGCCATCCTCTGGGCCGCCGCGGGGCCCTGGGAGCGCATAGCAGCAGAGACCACAGAGCAGCAGAGAGCACAAAGCAGCAGAGAGCAAAGAGCAGCAAAAAGAGCACAGAGCAGCAGAGAGCACATAACAGCAGAGAGCACAGAGCAGCAGAGAGCACAGAGCAGCAGAGAGCACAGAGCAGCAGAAAGCACAGGGCAGCAGAGAGCACAGAGCACAGAGCCGGGAACCATGATTTCGGGTTTTTCCAGCTTCGATCTCTCCAAAATCATGGTTCCCGCCATCCTCTGGGCCGCCGTGAGTCCCTGGGGCGCCAGACAGAGCCGGGAACCGGGATTTGGGGGTTTTCCAGCCTCGACCTCTCCAAAATCATGGTTCCCGCCATCTTCTGGGCTGCCGTGGGTTCTTTTCGCGCGCACGCGCCCAGCGGATTTCTTTCGAACGGCCCGCAGTTTTCGCGCGAATCGATTTCGCGCGGACGGCGGACCCTCAAGAAAGACCCGCTGGACGCGGCTTGAAAAACTCGGCCGACGGCTCCGAGGCGGCCGTCGGCGGTCCTCCGTCGGGGTCTGGGGGCTCTCACGTCCGCCGAGCCCGCGAGGGCTCGGGCGGAAGGGGGCGGCCTGACCGCGATGCTCCTGGTGGCCTCAGACACCGTTGGTCATAGCAGGGGGCTGCCCCTGTCTGGCGTCTGGGGCCCGTCCCTCGTCGCCTGGGTCTGGCTTGGGCCCCGCGGGGCCCTTGCGACCGTGCATGCCGAATGCAAGGCGGCTGTGCCGAGCACTGCTCCCAGACCACTCCTATGGAGCCTTTTCATCATCATCATCATCATCATCATCATCATCATCATCATCATCATCATCATCATCATCATCATCATCATCATCGTCATCGTCATCGTCATCGTCATCGTCATCGTCATCATCATCGTCATCATCATCATCACCACCATCATCATCATCATCATCATCATCATCATCATCATCATCATCATCATCATCATCTTGTCATCATCATCATCACCATCGTCGTCGTCATCGTCATCACCATCATCATCAGCATCATCATCATCAGCAGCAGCAGCGGCATCCACAGCTTCATCCTCCACATCATCATAATCATACTCATCAACAGCCACAACAACATCATCACACTCGTTATTCTGATCATCATCGTCATCATGAGTGTCATCATCATCGACAGCATCAGCATCATCATCATCATCATCATCATCATCATCGCCATCATCAACTGCGTCAGCACCAGCATCACCACCACCACTACCCCCACCACCATCATCATCATCAGCATCATCATCATTATCATGTTCGTCGCCATCATCATCATCATAATCATCATCATCATCAGCATAAACATCATCATCGTCATCATCGTCATCATCATCATCATCATCATCATCATCGCCAGCATCATCACTATCAGTATTATCATCATCGTCATCATCACCATCATCACATCATCATCGTCGCCATTGTAATTGGCTTTAGTAGCATCACCCCCATCATCCTCGTCATCATCATCGTCCTCATCATCGTCGTCATCATCATCACCATCATCGCCATCATCATCACCCGCATAATCATCATCCTCATCATCGTCGTCATCAGCATCACCATCATCATCATCATCGTCGTGTCGTCA